GTCTGAAGCAAATACAGAGAGAGAGAGAAATGGCTTGTGTTCCTCTAACTTCTCTGATGAATACAATCCACTTTGAGTTCTTACAACCCTGCAGAGCACCTGTGATTCTTGCTGAAGATACAGCACATTTGGTTAGTTCTCTCCACCATAATCTTGGTTTCTTGCTCACCTTTCTTGAGGAATTCCAGAAAAAACCCGGAAATGATGATGCTGCAATCAAAGATTTGGAAGCCAAAATCAGAGACTTCGCCTTTTTAGCAGAAGATGAAGTTGAATCAAATCTGGCAAAGATATATATGGAGGCGGCAGATAAGGAGATGACACTCTTTCAGAACCTACAACAAGTACTAGGTGAAGATGCAGAGATGATACTTTTTCAGAACCTACGACAAGTAGCTGAAAAAACTCAAAACTTCGTTAACGGAATTAAAAGAGAATACAATGATTCTGCTGTCCAAGATTTGACAAAGGTATTTCGGCAGGCAGTCTTTGCTTACTAAGCTACTGTTATTACTGTATTAGCAGTCACGTTGTTGATACATTTCATAATTTACAACTCTGATCTGATCTGATCTTCCTCTACAGGTACAAGCCCTTCCGTTATCTTCACATGAGTGGATCTCAAAGATTGAGGACCGAATGATTGGGCGTAGAAGAGAATTAAAAACAATAAAGAATCAGCTCATTCATCAACCATCTAAAGAAGGGAAAGTCATTTCCATTCTTGGGATGGGCGGGATCGGTAAAACTACTTTAGCCAAAAGCGTTTACGAAGATCCATCAGTGCTATCCTACTTTGACCTTCGTGCATGGACTACTGTCTCTCAAGAAGTTAACATGAGACAAATTCTCTGCAGCCTTCTTTGGTCCATTCAGAGAGGAATGAATACCGAGGGAAGCACACTAGATGAACTAGCACACAAGCTACGACAGCGTTTGATGGGTATGAGGTATCTGATTGTGGTGGATGACGTATGGGAAACCAATGTCTGGGATTATCTCACCAGATGTTTTCCTAAAAGTTATGGAAGTGTAGTATTGGTGACCTCTCGGCTAAGAGAGATTGCAGACTACACTACATCAGGTGCCAGCAATCTTCTTCATGACTTGCATTTTCTCAATTCTGATAAAAGTTGGGATCTATTTTGCAGTCATATTTTCTTGAAACAGCCCTTGCACTCTAAGTTCAACACAATTGGAAGGAATATTGTTGGCAAGTGTGGGGGGCTTCCCCTGGCAATTGTTGTAGCTGCTGGACTTGTATCCCAATTCAGCAAAGTTGAAGAATTGGAAAAGCTTGAGAAAGAAATGAGCTATCTTGCTAGTACAGATATTGGTGAACAATGCTCAAGAATTCTTATTGTAAGTTACAATCATTTACCTCCGCATTTGAAAGCTTGCTTTTTATATTTAGGAGTTTTCTCAGCCGGTAGTGAAATTCCTATCAAAAAGCTTGTTAGGTTATGGATTGCCGAGGGGTTTGTGAAGTTAGTGAGTGATAAGGAATTGGAAGAAGTGGGTGTGGGGTATTTACATGATCTTATTAGTAGAAGTCTCGTCCAAATTGATAAGCTTAAATGTGATGGCCAAATCAAGACATGTAGGATGCATGATCTCTTGCTTGGACTTTGTGTACGACAAGCAACAAATGAAAAACTTTTGTGTGTTGAAGACAATAATAGTTTTGATATGTGCAACATTATTAGTTCGAAAAAAGCCAGTGGTATTTGGGATTGGCTTACTTGGCTAGGTTTTAAATCATCATCAAAGCTGCCTAAGCCTTTTGATATGTGCAGCAATTCCAAAAAAGCCTGCGGTACTTGTCGTTGGCTAAGTTTTAGATCATCAAATTTAAAGTCTGAGCATTTTGATTTTTGCAACAGTAAAGCCCGCTCCATTTTGTGTTTGCATAAAGATGAAATAATGCCAATGGTCAATGATCCAAAGCCTCTAAACTTCAGCTTGTTAATAGTTCTAGATTTGACTTCTCCTTTGTACAACAAGGGAGTCCATTTGTCCGCCCTAGATCATCTATCCAATATAGTTCTTCTAAGATACCTAGCTTTTGAGATGGATAGGTCTCTTGGCTCCGAGGGTCTCAAGAATCTACTGTCTAAAAATAAAAAATTACAAACACTTATTGTTTCACATAGTGCCCCTCACTGGCAAGTGCATTGTTCTCATTTGCCATCCACAATTTGGGGATCACCACAGTTAAGGCATCTTGAGCTTAGACAAAACTTCTTTAAAGTGGAGCCTCCAGGCATTGTGAAAGAGGACTTGCAAGTTTGGTATTGGTTGAGCATATTTCATTGCACTAGAGAAGTTATTTCTAGGATTCCCAACGTAAAAACGTTAGGGATTTTTTGTGAAGATAGATTGATTCCTGACGATGGTGTGCCTTCCAATGATGCTTTCAACTTGAAAAATCTATGTTATTTGAATCATCTTGAGGTTTTAACTATTGAAGCTGAGTATGCCATTCCTAAGCGTATGTCCCTTCCAAGTATAGATGCACTTCCCTGTAACCTTAGGAAGTTGAAACTAAGCAGGGCTTATCTGCCATGGAAGGATAATATATCAACAATTGCCTTGTTGCCTAGACTAGAGGTTCTCAAACTAAAAATGGATGCTTTCTATGGACCTGAGTGGGAACCAACTGAAGGGGGATTTCGTCGATTAAAGTTTTTGCAACTTGAAAACACACAACTTGAGATTTGGAATGCCTTTGATGATGAGTTCCCTATACTTGAGCGTCTAGCGCTGAAGTATTGTAAGAGATTAAAAGAGATCCCAAGTTCTTTCTCAACCATTAATTCTTTACAATCCATTGACTTTGAAAGCTGTAACCCTGCCCTTTTGACTTGTACCGAGAATATCCAAGAAGTACAGGTCAATTATGGATATGATATTTTTGCTGTTATTGACCGCACTCCTCAGGTCCATCTCTTTTGCACTTTTTTCTACTCTGATAATATCCTCACTCCTTTTTTATTTTTTTATTTTTTTATTTTTTATTTTTTTATTTTGTATTGTGTGTGTTGATGAATGCAGTACACTTTTGAGCAACGTATGAGCAACAGAGGCAAGGCTGCGTTAGATTAAAGTTGATGTCGCAATTGATCTTGCTAAAAGTGTTCCTTCGAGAGGAGTCCACACTGCGAATGGAGGCAGAAGCTCTAAGGGAGGCTCTTCTTTTGATGCAGAAACACAATCTAAGGGAGGCTCTTCTTTGGATGCCGTCAAGGTTATCCATGATATCTGTTGAAAATTTATATAGCAATGAAGATTAATGTTTCAGATAGACTATCATGAAAGCTTAAATAATATTTGGAATTGTAGAGTTATAAATATTATTTTAGTTTGATAGAAAGTAAGTTGGGAAAAGAGCTAGCTGAAACCATCTGCGTCGTTGACGAGTAAGTTACAATATTATTTTATTGTAGAGTTTCACCGATCTACAATCTGCGTCGTCGACGAGTGGGGAGCGAGGGTGAGAGGCCGTTAGAAAGGAGCTAGTTGAAACCAGAAGTCACCACAAATTCGCACGCGCCGGTGCTCAGCTCGCCCACTGATGTAGGGTTATAGTTGTTGCTTGAAAGATAGATGATTTCTGAAATAAGGCAAAGTGTGGAATTAACTTACATAGCCGAGAAAGGAAACAATGTGCAATTACAAAAATGTCCTCAAGTTTATTGCCTTAAACAAGCTGGTTTGACTTTAGGACCAAATCAGGTAAAAATGTCATAGTCGAGGACCAAATTGAGGAATTTTGATAGTCGATGACCAAATTGGTGAAATCCTCATAGTCGAAGACCAAATTGAAGAATTTTGATAGTCGATGACCAAATTGGTGAAATCCTCATAGTCGAGAGACCAAATCAGTAAGTAACTCTTAATATTACATACGATTGGAACCGAATAGTAGTAAAATTGATACGCACGATTCGTTGATTTTAATGATTCGTTGGTGTTAATGAATCATGGATTTTAACAAATTAATGCATTAATCAATTCGATTGTATCAAATCGAGGCTTGACAAATACAATTCGTTGATTACGAGCTTAATGCACAATTCGTTAATATACGAATTGATGCACAATTCGTTAATTAACGAATCGATGGATTCAGGTTGTATTAATTCGTTGTTTAACGAGTTGATGCCATTTTGTTCAATTCGTTGGTTAAACTAATCAATGGATTCGTTTGAAGCATTCTTGGCTGCATGCGTGAAATGTGGAGTGTATATATATATATATATATATATATATATATATATATATATATATATATATATAGGGAAGGGATCAGGTGCATTTGTGGTTTCCGTGCGGATGTGCAGTGGATTAATGTGCGTGAGGTTTATACTTAATGTGCGTGAGATTTGTACTCAATGTGCTTGAGATTTTGTACTTAATGTGCGTCATGTTAATATGCATAAGTTTTGTACTTAATGTGCCTGAGTATTGTGTTATAATGTGCGTGAGATTTGTGCTTAATGTGCTTGAGTATTTCAGAATTACGAGCTCAGAAGGAAGTAGAACAGAAACTCACGCACATTAACGCTCAAGCTTCATGTTACTTCTTCCTTCAATTTGACCATGGATTCTGGATTATCAGCTACCTTCAATGCAGTTGAATGTTTATATAAATGACGCACGCACAGTAAAATTTGCACAGCAGCTAAGTGTGGATTTCTGTTGTATTATTCCCATAATTCTTAACCACCATAGCTCGCCTCCGCATCATCATCAGGGAGGGGGCAAATGGCTACTGGGGATGCGGAAGAAGCTGACATCAATATTTTCTGCAGCATTTTACACATTCACGCACATTAAGTACAAATCTCAGGCACATTAAGCACAACACTCACGCACATTGAGTACAAATTTCACGCACATTAATCCACCGCACATCCGCACGGGAAGCATTCAACCGCACGGGAACCTTTCAATATATATATATATATATATATATATATATATATATATATATATATATATATATATATATATATTACTCTATGAAATCGATCGTACGTAGTACATAAATTACAAATATATGATTTATATATTTGTATTTTCCCATGACAGATATATTATTTATTTATTTATTTAAGATATATCTTATGAAAGTTGAGTTTTTAAATTACAGTAACTTTCATGTAATTTCTCCAAACTGTTATATTTTGCATCTATAAATAATTTGGAGAAACATCTGAAAATGACAGGCAATTGAGACATGCAAGATATTCAATAAAGTTGCAGTAAACTGAGATATTTCACAGTTTTACAATTCTACAGGAAATTCTTAAACAAAGCTCGCAATTTAAGAATTTCATTCATCTTCTTGTATCCCATAAGATTAAATCTTGAACCTTGTTGCTTTTTCAAAGGGAAATTTAAAGTTTATAGGAAAGTGATTACACGTCTGAAGATATCAAATGATCCAGTTTATGTTCCTTGATCTATTCAGTATTTTTGTTGTATCTCAAATGTATTACAAAATACAAGCACTTTTTTCCAACAATCTATAAGCTTTGAATTATAAACCTGAAAGTTTTGAAGGCAAGAAGTGAGGCGTGAAAGAAAAGTTTCCCATCACTGCTTTCGAAATGAGATTTCGAATATGGTGATGGGATCGGAGGATGACAGAAATCACTTTTGGGTTTGTCGTTGTTTATGTACAAGAAGATTTCCGTGTGAACTTTTGCATGGTGTTCATGGCAGATGTGTGCATGTTGTACATGTGGATTTAATGCACGTTATGCAGTCTGTTTTTATCTATACAAAAATCATGGGGTATCAAATTATGCCAAGATGATTAGTGAGATGTGTAAAATGATTTTATTTAAATAAATCATTTTGTTACCCATGATTAATTGGCATGAGAAGATGTGTACTTCCCTAGAGTGAGTGTGCGGTCTTAGCACATCAAAGGCCGGAAGAGATGATTTTGAAGTAGATACAAGTTACAGAGGATGAGATCGGTACAATACCTTTTACATATTTGTCTCGGCCTCGACATGGATGTAAGTTTTATTTTACTTACTGGCTAAGTTCTGGATTATGTCTAGAAGATATGCATGAGATTCTGTTGAGTTTGCATAGCTTGTTAAATATAATGATATGTTTATGCATGTGTATAAATATTTTTATATTGAGACTTTGTCTTGGTTGCATACATATAGTATACAAGATACATATATAATTTATATATGTTGGATCTTGATGTGCTGTAAATCCCAAATTTGGATTAATTTAGTGATATTAGCTTATCTGATGCCTTCTACATGGTTACAGAGCTGTAGAATTAGTTTATGATGTCCTGCATGCATTATTGATTATTTTAGCACAACAGAAATTTTATTCTTGTAAAATACTTTGGAATATTTTGTTATATTTCAGTTGGTTATGGCAGAAAGCCTTTGAAATATTTTGTTATATTTATGATAAATTAAAGGCAAAAAAGCCATGAAAATTTTATATTTCTGATGAAGGGATGTAGAAAGTTTTATTCATGAGGTATGCAATACTGTGTATAATGAAATTCATAAAATTTATGAATATCTTTAACACTAAATTTCTCATATTGAGAATGTGTTAAAATATTGAAAGTCAACAAGTTTATTAGTTTATCTAGTATGGAAATTGGCCCATGAAAAGAAAGTTCAAAGTTAAATCATGGATTATTTGATTTAAGTTTGTATGTTTCTTCAGTTTAGAAGAAACACGAAAAGTTAAAGCTTAAAATAAAAAAAAATGGTTTATTCTCCAAAGTTAAAATTTATGAATATCTTTAATACTAAATTTCTCATATTGAGAATGTGTTAAAATATTGAAAGCCAAAAAGTTTACTGGTTTATCTAGTATGGAAATTGACCCGTGGAAAGAAAGTTCAAATTTAAATCTTGGATTATGATTTAAGTTTGTATGCTTCTTCAGTTTAGAAGAAACATGAAAGTTAAATCTTAAAATATAAAAAAAAAAGTGGATTATTCTCCAAAGTGAATCGATATTTCTGAATGGAGAAGGTTTATCATTATAAGTTTATTCTCCAAACTGAATAGATATTTCTGAATTATTTCTACATGGTGATTGAAAATTCTTGATTATAGAATTTACATGAAAATAAAAATTTATTGACTAGCTAGGAACATGTAAAGTGGGTTCCGGTATAATCAATCAAATATTTTATTTTCACAAGTCCATTGATAGAATATTAAAATTCTATTGTGTTATGATGCTAGTTGTAAATCTAATTCGGAAGATTATTCCTCAACTATTGGATAAGTTTTTTCTGCTTGGAGGATGTGTTTTTTCTAGGCTTTAAAAAAGCAAAGCTACATTTCAGATTTAACTATGGCGTTTGAATATATTGCATTGGCTTCGGCATGCAAAGAAGTTGGTTGGATAAGGAATTTAATTATTGAGATCTTGGAGACGGTAGATAAAGAGATTATACTCTTTCAGAACCTACAACAAGTAGGTGAAGATGCAGAGATGATACTCTTTCAGAACCTACGACAAGTATCTGAAAAAACTCAAAACTTCGTCAACACAATTAAAAGTTGTGCCGTCCAAAATTTGCCAAAGGTATCACGACAGTCTTTGCTTACTCTATTAGCTAGCATGCAGTGACATTATATTGATGATACATTATTTCATAATATACAACTCTACACGTACATACCCTTTCGCTACATATTGGTTCAGACCACAAGAGCGGATCTTCATAGCGGTTCTCAAAGATTGAGGACAGAATGGTTTGGCGTACAAGTGAATTAAATACAATAATGGATCAGCTCATTTGTCATCCATCTAAAGAATGGAAAGTCATTTCCGTTCTTGGGATGGGCGGGATCCGGTAAACTACTTTAGCCAAAAGAATTTACAAAGTCCATTAGTGGTATCTCACTTTGGCCTTCGTGCATGGACTACTGTCTCTCAAGAAGTTAACATGAGACAAATTCTCTGCAGCCTTCTTTGGTCCATTAAGAGAGGAATGAATATCGACGGAAGCACAGATGATCTAGCACACAAACTACGACAGCGTTTGATGGGTCAGGGGTATCTGATTGTGGTGGATGACGTATGGGAAACCGGTGTTTGGGATCATCTCACCAGATGTTTTCTTAAAATTTATGGAAGTGCAGTATTGGTGACCTCTCGGCTAAAAGAGATTGCAGGTAGAGGTGGCCACGGACCGGTTCAAGGTCGAACCAACCCTGAATCGGCCCAAAAAAAAAGTGGGCCTTGGCCTTACTAGGCCTGAGCCGGGCTTAGCTCGAATCGGAACCGCCTTGTTAAGGGCCGGTTCAGGTCCCTTAAAAAAAATTTAGAGCCCGACACGAACTGGCCTAGAGCCCAGGCCCGAGCACGGCCCAAGCCCCTAACCGGCCCAGGCCCGGGCCTAGGACCGAGAAAATGCAGCCATGGCAGCAAAGCATGGCAGCTTTGCTGCCAATCTACCATGGCTAAATGCCTTAAAAAAAAACAATATTAAAGTAAGGTACTTATTGTCGGCAACCTGATACAAATCATAGTACCTCATGTTGGTTGCGTTAAAGGCTGTTCTGGTAGTCCTTTTCACTTTTTCTCCTCTCTCGGGCAAATTCATTTTAAT